GTATCATCCAAAGGGCAGAGGAGGAGTTGTTGAGGTGGATTTGACATTTAGATAGGTGTACGAAATTTGGATGACTTGGAAAGTATGTAGTGGAAGGTAGGCTGGGTTGGGGTCGTCAAATCAAAGGTTGGAAGGAGTGGGTATCGGAGGTTTTGTGTGTAAAGAGCTTGGACAACCAGCAGGCATGTTAGGAGTGAAGGCCAATGGCACTTGGAATTTTATGAGCAGTTGGAGTGTGACCACGGTGACATTTTGTGAAGGGATTCAGGAAAACTGGTTAGCCAGATATGAATCCTTAAGGTGGGAAGCACAGTGCCCACACTCTCAAGGAGGTTTGCGTGGTTTGAAGTTAGGAGAGGCAACTGAAATGTATTGGCTCGCCTCTGTCGAGAGAGCAATAGAATCAACGATGGCGAAAGCGTTTCTTCTCTTTTGGTTATCCTACCTTTGTGGGAAATGGCCAGTGTGTTAGAAAAAAATTTGGATATTAGGTACAAACAGTATCAAAGTCCCAGGATTGTTTACGTTCTACCAGCAATGTATCAGAAATAGTGACAGAACAATTGCTAAAAAAAATTATGGGGAAACTGGATAATTTTAGTTTCCAAGTGCTGGATCAAGCGGGTTGCTATGGATATGTGGGCCTGTAGTTTGCGATCAGTAACACTAGTTAAATAGGCAATCAACAAAAAATGGCCAAGCTAAGAGGTTATACAATCTCCAGAGACAGGTCACAAATTCGTCGAGACACAAATCAGCTGTTACAGCATGCTGTAATCACAGTCAATCATTTCAAGTGGAAGGATGGGAGGGAGAGTTTTGGTTGAGCTGTGGACAAGAGACTGGTATTGTGGTCACCCAATTCACACTTCTATAGGAATTTCTCGTTTACCACACTCATAATTGTTTACCAATTGGTGGACAGTGAACAGTAATAAAAGCATTTGTATATCTACAGCGCCATGCAGTCATTGGACTGAATAATTATGTTAGGTAGTTGGACATTGTCCACAGACCTCAGGCAGTGAACTATGTTCACATACCTTTATCTCAATGACATAATCTTAATCTTTTATTCTCTTACTACTGTTTCTTCAAATCTTTCCCTCACTGTCACATCTTGTGGATCGCCAGCATATCATTGGCAGCTTGCTGCTGGTGAGAGATTTTGAGTGGTAACCTAGCTACCACCCATAATCCTAAAGTACCTCTGGTATGTAATAATATTCTCTTATTAACTAAGATTATGTCGTTACATACCAGGTTCGTGGTTTGGGGTTCCACGCAATGAAGATTTTTTCCTTTGGCAACAAAGGATTCTTCTTCGGACGATTTACCCCCTGTCCAGTCCGGTAGTCGCAGACCTCATCGTGGTGGGCTGGTGAACATGAAGTACTTAACATCTCTTAATTCTTTAGCAATCAAGTCATTATTTTTAAATGTAATTCTTTAAATTTTTATATGTTTGAATTAGAGATAAATACTATTTCATGGCCGACATGCGACATTTTTTTTTTTCTATGTTACTGAATGGGTAATAAGTGGAGTGACATACTAGTTAACTATTATTTATAGCAGTAGTTGGGGTAAGTTAACTATTATGTGATAAATATTTCCATGGTATGTGAACCTTCAGTAATATAGTTTTATTATGTACTATATATTTATTAAGTATGATTTATTGTCCAGTGTTAATTTGCATTTTACTGATGTATATTACTATGACATTTATTTAATATATAGGATGTAAAATTTATTTATAAAAAATTGTATTATTTCGGCTGTATATAAAATGATTATTTTAATTTCATAAATGTTAGTATATATTATTTCTGGTACATGTATATATTTATGATTTATCATTTTAATGTCATAAATGGGAAAGGTTAAGGTGTAGCAATATTATAAATTTTAATATTTTGCAAATCATAGGTTGTACATATAATATTGGTGTATTTTGTGTATGAATCACACATGCTTAGTGCTTCTTTTTAATAATAGAAGTACATCGTAGTAACAATAATAGTGGTAGTAGCATTGTATCAAGCATGTCCAGAATTCTAGCAAGCATGTCCAGTATTCTAGCTAGCATGTCCAGTATTATAGCATGTCTAATATTTTTTCCTGTCCAGTATTGTATCAAGCATGTCCAATATTGTATCATGTCCACTACTGCTAAAGGTCCCGCTTCACACACGGAGGGCCCGGGTTCGATTCCCGGCGGGTGGAAATATTTCAACGTATTTCCTTACACCTGTTGTCCTCTTCACCTAGCAGCAATAGGTACCTGGGTGTTAGTCGACTGGAGTGGGTCACATCCTGTGAGACAAGATTGAGGACCCAAATGGAACTAAGTTAGACAGTCCTCTATGACGCACCGACTTTTTTGGGTTATCCTGGGTTGCTAACCCTCGGGTTAAAAAAAAAATCCGAGCGAAACGCCTAAGATGTATGGTTCGTTAACATATTTGTAGTTGGAGTTATAAAAGAAGGGAACGCTAGTGCTATGCAGAGGTGCGAGATTAAAATATTTTGGATCTGATACAATGATAGAATGGAGGAAGGTAGTATGCAGGAAGTAAATATGTTCAGATATTTAGGAGTGGTCTTATCAGCAGACGAATCCATGAAAACAAAGGGTACTATGGAATTGAAGGAGAAAAGGTGGGTGGTGCATTGAGGCATCTGTGGAGACAAAGAATATTATCTATGGATCCAAAGAGGGAAATATGTGAGAGCATAGTGACACCAACACTTATATAGATGTGAAGCATTGGTTTTGAATCTTGCAGCGAGGAGGTGGCTGGAAACAAAGGAGATGCCATATCTTAGGGCAATCTGTGGTGTGGATATTATGTTGAGAATTTTAACTTGGAGATTAGCATGTGTGGTGGTTACTAAAAGTATCATCCAAAGGGCAGAGGAGTTGTTGAGCTGGATTTGACATTTAGATAGGTGTACGAAAATCGGATGACTTGGAAAGTACGTATGTAGTGGTAGGTAGGCTGGGTTGGGGTCGTCGAATCAAAGGTTGGAGGGAGTGGGTATAGGAGGTTTTGTGTGGAAGGAGCTTGGATAACTAGCAGGCATGTTAGGAGTGAAGGCCAATGGCATTTGGAATTTTATGAGCAGTTGGAGTGTGACCACAGTGACATTTTGTGAAGGGATTCAGGAAAACTGGTTAGCCAGATTTGAATCCTTAAGGTGGGAAGCAGTGTGCCCACACTCTGGAGGTTTGCAGGGTTTGAAGTTAGGAGAGGCAACTGAAATGTATTGGCTCGCCTCTGTCAAGAGAGCGATAGAATCAATGATGGCAAAAGTGTTTCTTCTTTTTTAGTTATCCTACTTTGGTGGGAAATGGCCAGTGTGTTAGAAAAAAATTTGGATATGATAAACAAACTGTATCAAAGAGTCAAAATTATTTACCTGCTACCAGCAATGTATCAGAAATAGTGACAGAACAATTGTTAAAAAAAATTATGGGGAAACTGTATAAATATAGTTTCCAAGTGCTGGAGCAAGCAGGTTGCTATGGATATGTGGGCCTGTGGATTGCGATCAGTAGTACTCTAGTTAACCCTTTGAGGGTCAACAGGCCCTCTCCGGGACTCGTTCTCAGGGTCGGCCAAATTAAAAAAAAAAAAAAAAAAAAAAAATCTGATGAAAAGATAGAGAATCTTTTCCCAATCATAATGACACCAAAAGTATGAAATTTGATGGAAAACTTACAGAATTATGCATTCGCGAAGTTAGCGGTCATTGGCAATGTTTAAAGCATTGGAGTGAATGATGGTGAAAGTTTTTCTTTTTCGGGCCACCCTGCCTTGGTGGGAATCGGCCAGTGTGATAATAAATAATAATACCATGGAGCGTAACACTGGAAGCTACAATATTTCTTAAGCATAAGCATAAGCATACATGATACTCAACCAGGCAAAGCACCACCTACTCAACAACAAAGAAGTCACATGATCTCATCGTCTACCTGTCCTCATCCCAATATGGCATTCTTCAGGTCACTATGCATCACTCGTACCTCACTTTCCACCTAATATATACTGTCTTTTAACCTCGTGATAGAAGTGATCAAGCTCCCAGGACCGAAACATTTTCCAATAAAAATGTCCTAGTGTTTGCTTACGTGTTCCTCCAAGCAAAGATAGGGATAAACAAAGTACTGAGGATATTGAATCAAGCAAGAACTAGAAGTAACAGATTTAAATTAGGTAAATTTAAATTTAGAAAGGACGTACAAAAGTACTGGTATTCAAAGTTGTCAATGAGTTTACCAATCTGCCAAGTAGGGTCAAAGAAAAAGATTAGACAAATGTATGAACAAGAAGGGCTGGATTTGATTAAGACATGAGGCTTTGGGAAAAGGTTAGACAAACAGGTGGGTGAAAAAGACCTGCCTCATATGGGCCAGTAGGCCTGCTAGTGTTCATTTGTGACTTTCCTGAGCCTGACCTCAGGGTGCACATAGCCTTACAAGGCCATGTACCTTTATTTTTATGCTTGATAAAATTGTCGTGTATAAGTGTCATCATAAAGGTTTTACAGAAGTGTCTTTCTTTTGTATCAGCTTACATCACTGTTCATCCACTTGTCACTGTAATGCCTCCAATTTGCACCAGAAAAGGGTAAAACTATGGAGCAAATTTAAGAAGAAAAAAATAGCTGAACAGTATGTGGGTAAAATTTAGCTAGTCATGTAGTCTATGGTTTATAATAAACCAAATATGGGATGGTACCTGTAAAGACGTCCAGCAAACATTTTCATAAGCACTGTTATCAGTAATGCTTCATCATTCTAGGTTTGGCCTATCATGTTTAAAGATTATGCTGTTGTGGATACATATCTATAAATTAAACCAGAGCACCACAAGAATAAGACAAAGAAAATAAATAAGTGCTAATCCTATAACTGGAATCTTATAAATTTAACCAATAAATACAGTTATATTTTCAATATTAATGTGATACTACTGTATAATCACTCGCCATTTCCCTCAGTATGATGCGACATCCATAACAGAGATATTGTTCCATCACTTCTTTGGTAATTTCCTGAAGTTTTCCACCAACACAGCATTCAGGGTTCTGACTGCATTTTAATGTCTCAGTAGCAATGTGAGAAAGATCTGCTTCACAGCATTTATTTAAATTTCCAAGCAGCATTGGTGAGCATTTCTCATCATTGATATGCATGTTTCTGTGTGTTACAGTTTCTTGAAAGGCATGAGTCACTGAGGTGCTAGCAGACAACTTTTCAGAAACTACAGTGGCATAGAATGCTGATGCCTCACTTTGTCCTGTGTCTAGTGGAGAACAGCACAAAGCACAGGAAGCGTTGCTCAAATCCATCTCAGACTCACAGCCATCATCACCATTCAAACTGGGAGTAGAGCACTTGCTGCAATCTGAAGAGGTTGATACTAATTTGTCTCCTGTACGGAAAATTGTTGGAACTGTAGCAGGAAACTCCTTTTGTAGACCCAGCACAAACTCTTCTGTGCATGATACAATGCTAGGGCCCTGTAAAAATTGAGAAATTAATAAGGCAAACACTACTACTTGAATGGGTTTAAAAATACTGTACAATTTGAATTGGTTTAAAAATACTTTACAAACAAAGAAGACTCCCTCCTACACCAGCACATTAGGTAATCATATTCAGTTTAAGATTTCCTTACACTGCTCATTGTCTTACTACTAGTCTGGAATTTAGTTTACACTTTAGCAACATGAAAATTTTCCTTTAAATTTCTGTCTTGGCTCATCTAATTTCTTACAATAGTCTCTCATATCCGCGTGCAGATAAGGTTTGGGGAATGTGGGTAGAGCAGATAGGATGACAGGGCATATAAATATAGGATGGAAAGAAAGAGGTATAATTGTTCCAGTAAGAGCTAGGAGGGAATAAAGGCTTTTGAGTGCTAGGGGCTTAGATGAGCATTATAGAGCAGGTGAGTGGAGCAGTGTTTTTTTGGGCCTGAACCCAAAGGGGTTAAAAAAAACCCAAAAACTGGAAGTGGGGAAAAAACAGGCCGCCTCCAAAACAGAGTAGGATAATCAGTTTAGAGGGGCATTTTTATTGTGATTCGCCTACAAGCAATCCGCTATGAAGGGAGATAGGATAAAAAATGTAACAAAAGTGAAATTTTAACCCCCGACTGCCGGTCATAAGTATATGTCTGGGAGTACCGTGTTTGACGTATCTATACGCATAATTCAGCGGCTTCAAAAAAGCGGGAGAGGGCTGGTAGGGCCTACCGAAGAGAAAGGGTTCAGTGGCGGGGTGCACCCGTGAAAAAAATTGGGACTCAGCGGGGCAAATTTTGGAACCCCTCTGGTTTCCATTTTCACCATGCCTTGCGGGAAAAGTTCCTCACTCCTCGGCAGATTGGGGGTCTTTGTTCCCAAGTGATAGCTCAAACGTGATGTAGTGTCAGTGAAAAGTGAATTCCCTGGTTTTGAAGGGGGTTGGTGACCGAAAAAATTACCCAGGATAACATAATTAATGAAAACCCAGATGACCCACACCCTTCCACCTCTGGTGCTGGGCCCGGCTCGTTCATGTTCACCTGTACCAGGACAAAAGAGGAAACTATTTGCCCGTGTACAAGACTCAGATGTGAGCAGTGAAAGGGTGATAGTGATAGTGATTTAAAGGGTTATTGAAAGCATTCTAGTTGGTGACAGTGAGGGTGAATATTCCCCAGTAAAGCGGCATTATATACGACATCGCATGCGGTCTGGTAGTGTGCCATATGCTCTTCCAAAAGGAAGGAGTACATCTCGGAGCACACCCAGCCCTACACCACGTCCTGATATGAAGATGACGATATTGTTACGATGGTTTAAATGATGTGAGTGAGGCAGCAGGTGTGGTGGCGATAGTGATGGTGGCTGAGTCATGTGACACCAGTAGCGGGCCGCTACACCCGTCTCTGACTCTGCACAACTACAACCAGCTTCGCCCGGACCCCACACTCCCCCAAAACCCCACAACCACATTACAATATCCAGAAACCCCCAGCTGACCGCTCTGGGATTGGCAGCAAGATGACGAGTTTTTTCCCCAACCCCCATGACTTTGATGGAGGACAAAGTGGAATACGCCATCATGAAACACTTGGGAAACAATCCACTGAACTGGAATGCTTTCAGTTGTTCTTCCATGAACCCCTGATGGACATTTTTGTCAGGGAAAGCAATACATACTATGAGTACACCATGGCAAACACTATTCTGTCACCAAGATCACGCCTACACCAGGGGAAGGACACAACTGTGGCAGAGATGTATCTGTTCTTTGCCACAATAATGCTTATGCCACATGTGTATAAGCATAGTGTCAACACATACTGGGCGACAGACCGCCGATTCAACCCCTGCTTTCAGTGACATTATACCCAGTGAATAGTTTTTGTGTTACTGTTACGTATGTTACACTTTTCAAAACAAAACCGGGCCTGACAGAAGCGACAGGTTATATAAGATCAGACGTGGGTTTATATACCTGAAACAAAAGTGCTGTATGTATTTTTATCCCTTCAGGAAGCTTGTTATTGACGAGTTTTTGATTTTTGTTCAAAGGAAGACTCCATTCAAGCAGTATAAACCAAGCAAGAGGAAACGCTTTGGTAAAAAGTTATTTGTTTGTTGATTGCAAAACTGGTCTGGTTTTGGATAAAATTTGTGTACACTGGCGGTAAAACAATGGAAGATACCAGGAAGTTACTGGGTATCTCTGGTGAGTGGTTAAAAACCCAATGAGGGAGCCATATCTTGGAAAGGGGCATATTTTATATACTGACAACGGTACACAACCCCTATACTCAGTGATTTCTTGCGAGTGAACATGACAGATGTGTGTGGCAAAAGTGCGTAGAAATCGTAAACATATGCCTAGGTCAATGCTGGCAAATCGTAGAGGTGAAGTGCAGGTGTTTGCTGCCAATGACATCATGGCATTTCGGTGGCATGACAAACGTGATTCACACTGCTGACATCAGTTCACCGACACGAAATGGTAGACACTGGGAAGCAGAAAGAGAGAAACCCAAAGAACCCATTGTAAATCTGCAGCTGTGATGGATACAACCTCAATATGCACTTAGTGGACAAATGTGACATGCAGATTGGGTTTGCTGACTGTGTTTGCAAGAGTTATAAGTGGTACATAAAACTGTTTTTCCATCTTCTTGACATTTCCATGCTGAATGCTTATAATATGTATAAGTTGAAGACCAAGGAGAAACCTAAATATGGTGAATTTTGTTTGTCAGTCATCAGACAAATAATATTCAAGTACCAAGAAAACAACACCTGCAATAGACCAGCGCCCACGAAATTATCAACACATGTCCTCTCGTCTGAGGCCTGGTGATCACTACCCCATACCACTGCCTGCTACTACTGCCAAGAAGAGGTGTTTTGTCTGTGGACATACCACAAAACGCCCACAAAAATGCAGAGACACTCGTTTTATGTGTGAGGAGTGTAAGACACCATTGTGCTTATACCCATGTTTCAAAGAATTCCACAAGCTGCAGCACTTCTAGAAAAGTGTCCAGTGATTGTACATATGTATATATATTATAAAACAATCGTAATAAATATTTGTTTACATTGTTTGTTTGTGTAAACAAGTTTTAGCAACATTGTAATGATACGAGTGTTTTTGCTATAATTGTGTTACATTCAACGAGTGTATATTTGAACATTGCACAATAATTTGGTCTCACAGGCCACAAAAGTTATGTGAAAAATAAAATAGTGAAAAAACAAGAAACCATCGAATACAAGTAAATCAAAGTTTACCGGGTGAGCGGCAGTCGCCGCTCACAGATCAATTTCAGCAAACTTCAGGACTCTCTATCTCGGTAAGTACTGATGGGAAAAATTTTTAGAGGGGACTAAAACAATCAGAAAAATAATCTTAACATTTTCATAAGAAAAAATAATTTTTTTTTTCGAATATTTTGCGACACCAAGAGACACTTCAGGATTGGGCCCTTCGACAGTCAGAGGGTTAAGCAAATGTGGGCAATGTTTTGGACTGTCCTGGATCACAGCCCAAGACAGATCAAAACATCTAATTTCATCTCTTAATATGTGATTTAGTTTTGAAGTATTATTAGTATCAGACCTTAGATTTCAGTGTTGGTGCCTGCAGCTCAGTCAAGTTATGGAAACGGATATAGTGTTGAACTTCAGGCTCGAGTATTTCTCTCATGGGCCGAAAAACTTCTACGTCGTGGTGAAGAGACCTAAAATGCTGAAAAATTAAAAAGAAAGATGAGATTAAACAGGAGCACTAAAAAAACCTAATCTAGGAAGAACAAAACCTAACTCTGATGGAGTATGGCTAAGAAAAACCAAGAGAGTAATATAGATGGACACTTTTATACCTACAATATGTATGAAAGCAGGACAGATAAAATAGAAATGATGTTATACAGTCAAATCTCTGAATCCGCTTGCTTCATAATCCGTGCAATTCAACTCGACATTTTTGCCAATGGTCATTTTGGCATGTACTTCAATTATTCAGATTTTTTTTTTTGTGGCCATTTTTAATTTACTTTTTGGCACATGATTTTTAGATTGAAAGCAAGCCATAGGTTTTCCTTCAAAATGAGCTTATCCTCGTGAATATCAATATTAAGAGCCCTACTAAAAAATTAGAGGCCTTGGAATAAAAACAAAACAATGATGTGATCTACATGGATTTTGCAAAGGCTTTCAACCAAAATGACTCTTGGGGCAACAGTTTTTAAAACAATACCAATGGTTATAAAAGAAAAAGTAGGCAATTAGATATTCAAATTTTAAACAGATCACAAAGAGGGGCAATAAATATAATAAAAGTCCAGCCTCAGCCAAGCAAAAATTTCAGCATGCCAAGAAGGCACAGACAACTCTACACCATGGTGGCTCGGTAGGCAATGCCCTCGCATCACACGTTAAGTGTCTATGGTTCAATCCCAGATGAGTAGAAACAATGGACGTGTGTTTCCTTACACATCTCTGTTTACCTTGCAGTAAGTAGGTACCTGGGTGTTAGTCGACTGGTGTGGGTCACATCATGGTGGACAAGACTGAAGAGCCCCAATGGAAATAAGACAGACAGCCCTCAATGACACTCTGACTTTCATAAGTTATCCATGGTGCCTAACCCTCTGGGTTAAAAATCTGAACAAATCTTATCATAACTACTAATAATAACACATACAGACGTGTGGCCACACAAATATTAACTTACCACTTTCCTTGGAAGTTGCGAGCCCCTTCCAACTGCAACCAGTGACAAGATTGAGATGGATAACTTAGTTGAATTATGTGCTAAAAATACTTTTTTTGGTAGCTTAAATCATGAGCACACTGCATAATAAGCTCATGTCGCAGTTGTTCATGCAGGTCATGTTGGGCTGATATACTCTTACATGAAGCAAGTAGCTCACAAATTTTCTCCGTTAAACTTGAGTTTATTGCAAGATTTGCTGCACTCCATTCCTGAAAATATCAAGCATGCTCTTGAGTAAAGAAATACAGTAAACCTTCCATATAATGGACTAACAAGCAGGGATGGTCCATTAAATAAACATTTAAAAAATAGCAATAAAATGCACCAAAGTACTATATTTTATATCTAATATAGTACTATATTAAAAATATGGTAGTATATTAAAAATATAGTGCTATATTAAAAACTGTGTACACAGTTTTTAAAAGTCTCTTATATCAGGATCCAGTATACTGAGGATTTACTGTATATGTATATGTATGTACAGTAGGCAGGAACAGTAGAGATGTGAAGACGAATGTATGTACAGTACACTAGATCTCCTTAGTCGTGGCCCCTTTAACTTATTATGTTCTCTCAGTCTACTCATCTCTCCCCTGCTTTTCATTGGAGGTATCCTGAACCATCTGCCAAGCTTAAAAATCTAAATTTTAATAAATTTAAAATCTAGTATATTTAACATGATAGAATTAGAAACGTAAATGAGATCATTCACCAAATTAAACTTTTCAACACTACACTCTTCAAATGTACAGTTACTAGAAGTGAAATAAAGAAAATAACAGTAAGTACTTCAAGTAATACCCATTCAAAATGGCATAATTTATTTTTATTTATTAACACATCGGCCGATTCCCACCAAGGCTGGGTGGCCCGAAAAAGAAAAACTTTAATCATTCACTCCATCACTGTCTTGCAGAGGGGTGCTTTACACTACAGTTATGAAACTGCAACATTAACACCCCTCCTTCAGAGTGCAGACACTGTACTTCCCATCTCCAGGACTCAAGTCCAGCCCACAGGTTTCCCTGAATCCCTTCATAAATATTACTTTGTTTACACTCCAACAGCACATCAAGTATTAAAAACCATTTGCCTCCATTTTTTTTTTTTTTTTTTTAACAAGTCGGCCGTCTCCCACAGAGGCAGGGTGACCCAAAAAAGAAAGAAAATCCCCAAAAGAAAATGCTTTCATCATCATTCAACCCTTTTCACCCTCACACATAAGCACTGTTATTAGCAGAGGTGCTCAGAATACAACAGTTTAGAACATATTCGTATAAAGAACACAACCAATCCCTCCAAACTGCCAATATCCAAACCCCCTTTAGGAAAGAGACTTGCCGTGGAAACTGTTGGTGGAAAATATCTAATACATTCTCAGTGCTACCCGCGATGTGAGTCGACAACTGGGAACGTCCACGACGCACGCCACCAAGGAAGGTACGCAGATGTTGTTTTGTTGGGGATAGTCAAGTAAGTATTGGAAAGGGCGTTCTGCTTGAAGACAGGATAAGGAGACAGAGATTTGCTTTCCTGGGGCTGGGATGGCGGAATATTGTTTAGCCGTCTGGATGACATCATGAGAAGGTACTGGGAGTAATCCAATTATCTGTCATCCGAGCTGGAGGCAACGATGTATGGCAGACTAGGAGTGAAGACCTGAGTAGCAGGTATAGGTCAGCAATCGGAAAATAACATTAGACGTAAGGGTGGGAACCCCCTCATATGTATGGTATTATGCCAAGGAGGGGAGTTGGAAATGAATGGTTGTCCAGGCAATTGGTGTCAATTGCTGGCTGGCCAAATACTGTAAGGAAAATGCAGTCACATACCATTGACAACTGGACTCTTCTATGGCAGACATGAACATGTACCAGGGATGGGTTCCCCTTAATCTAGTGAGGGGTGGGGCAACTGCACCTGCATGGAGGGAGCAGTTAGACTTTAAACTAGGAGTAGTTAGTGGTATGGGTTATTGGTCAGGAAACAGTGAAGTCCCAGTGTAGCACTATTTACGAGTTTCTAGGGTAACTAGTAATAATAAGAACGAGTAGATAATGAAAAGCGGGACCTTGGTGATAAGACAGTAATAGTTATAGAAAAATAGAAATGAGCAGGAAGGGTAAGAGAAAGGAGAGTCCTTTCAATTTTATTATGTTAATATGCCCGTAGTGCTAGGAATAAGATGGACGAGTTTTTTGAATTAGTTGCAAGTGCATGTTAACATTGATGTATTTTGCCTTAACTGAGGACGTGGTTAATTCAAAAAGCGGACATGTCCTGCGGAATGTCAAATTCAGAGTTTTTAAATTGTTTCCAAGAAGATAGACGAATTGGAAGGGGGTGGTGGGCATTGTATGTCCGAGATCACTTGAACTGATGCAATAAACAAAGGTATTAAGTCTGAAGTAACACATACAGAGTCTGTTTGGATAGAATTTTCAGAGGGCCTGGAAAAACTGATTTTAGGAGTGGATATACCGTCCCCCAAACTTAGATAGGGACCAAGGGAAACTACTATGGGAGGAAATAGTTAAAGGCCACAAGGCACCTAATGTTGTAAATTCAGGGCCTTTAACTTTAGTCATGTTGATTGGAATATCTTGACTGGACAATTAGAATCATACTGACTTCTTAGAAGTATTTCAGGATTGTTTTTATGATAACAGTTATGTGACAAACCTACAAGGGGAAATAACCTGCTTGACTTAGTATGCAAAATAATGAATCCCTTGTTAATTAATTTAGAAATGCAGAGGAACTGGGTCTAGAGCGCCCACAAATCACTTACATATAGCATTGAATGGAAAGAACGATAGTAGATAACTCAGTAACAGTCCAGCTTTTCGCTTAGCAGATTACGATGGCTTAGAGCACACTTATCATTTGATGACTGGGGTAACGACGAAGCTCTCCCTACGACCAGTTTTCTGAACCTATACAAAGAGCGATTAACTCCCATATAAAGCCATTAGATCAAATAAACATGACCCAAACTGATGAATAATAAGGCCAATATCTACTAGGCATAAGAAAGGAATATTCTCGGCCCGGGGGTATACCATACCCAAACAAAAGTTGAGGGGTCAGCTATGAATCAGTATATTAGCCAATTAATAGGGACATTAAAAAGGGGATAAGAAAAGCACAAAGGGACTAAGAAATTAACGTTGAGCTAAGGTTCTAAACCTAACCCACAACGTTTTTTCCAGGTCTATCGCACAAAGTTAGAGATAAGATAGGTCCCCTTAAAAATAACTATGGGCACCTCACTGACAAAGAGAATGAAAAAGTGCATTTGATTTTCAATAATTTAAATTCACCTCAGTTTTTACACAGGAAGACACTAACAATATTCCAGTAATTAATTTTTACAGTGGCTAGAAGAAGAGACATTATGTAACCATCACAGTCACTAACTAGTGAGAAGGTTGTGCAGCAGATAGACAGACTGAAAGCAAAATAATTCGCCGGGTCCTGATAGTTTTTTCAATGTTCTTAGGAATGCAAAAATGGCACACAGTGAACCATTAAACTAAAAATTATTAATTTATCTCTTCAAAAACAGGTTGGTAGTGTCTGATATGAGGAAGATGGCTAATGAGTAATTCCTCTTTTTAAACAGGGACAAGTCTACTGACAAATTACCGCCCCAATAAGCCTGACCTCAATTGTAGCAAATTACTAGAGTCAATAATAGCTCAAATTATACAAGCCAACTCGATAAGCATAGCTTGGATTAATGATACACAGCATGGATTACACCAAGAGGGCCGACATGTCTTACTATTTATTAAACTTTCTACATATCGTCAGTAAAGCTTTTGGAGGCTGTTGACCACAATAAGAATATTTGATATTATTTACTTAAAATTAGTAAGGCTTTTAGAATAGAGTTCCACACCTAGACTGTTTAAAGAAAGTGGCAGCCCATGGCATTGGGGAAAAAGTGCACTCGTGGATCGAGACATAGCTCACTGACATGGAAGCAGAGAGTGTCCATAAATGGGGTTAATCCGAGTGGGATCTGTAACAAGTGGCGTTTCCACAGGATCAGTCTTGGCCCGTTTGTTGATTCTAATATATATCAATGATCTTGATGAGGGAATTACAGTGATATGGACAACTTCGCCCGATGACACAAAGATAGGTTAGATAATTGATTCAACGTAGATGATATGGAACTTCAGGAGGATATAAACAAACTCTATTCTTGGACAGAAAAGTAGGCAGAAGCATTTTCAATAGTAAGATAAATGAAAGGTTCTGAAGCTTGGGAGTGCCCATAACCCTAAACTTTATACGTTCCATGAATAACCTTAAGCCATACAGATTGGCCGAAAAGGACTTGGGGTTTAAGGTGAGCAGCAAACCAAAACCAAGACAGCAATGCCTAAGCTACGTAATAAGGCAAATAGATTACTAGGGAATTAATCAAGAAGTGTAAGCAACAAAGTCCAGAGGTTCATACTGCAGCTTTATAACATCCCATTATTAAAGGCCTCACCTAGATTATGCAAGCACAGTTTTTCTGGACTCCGTATTACAAAATGACATAAATTCGTTAGAAAACATTCAGCGAAAGGATGACATCCGATTAATCATAAGCATTAGAAATCTTCCTTATGAAGAAGATTGAAGACTCTTAAAGTTACTTCACCTTTAGACGAAGAATAGGGGAGAACCTGATCGAAGTGTATAAGTGAAGAAAGGTATTAAATAAAGGGGATATTAATAAGGTCTTGAGGATGTCTCTCCAAGAGAGAACCCAGTAATGGAAATTAAATTAGATCAGTTAGATTTTAGAAAGGACATAGGAAAGTATTGGTTTGGAAATAGAGTAGTTGATGATGGAACAGTCTACCAAGTTGGGTTATTGAGCTGGGACTTTGGGATAGTTTCAAATCCTAGGTTGGATAAGGTACATGAGTCGGAGGGGTATTGGATTTGAGTGGGACTTTCACATCAAGCTTATGTCTTGGGTGGCCATTTGAAATTGGGTGGGGCAAATGTTTTGTTAGGGGATGACTTGTAAAGGACCTGCCTAGTATGGGCCCGCAAGGCCTCCTGCAGCGTCCTCCTTTCTTATGATCTAAAAGTGCAGGCATTGTACATTCCCATATCCAGACTCAGTCCGCACCTATATGAAAATAACCGGTATTCCTCCCTGAATCCTTCACTAAATATTACCCTCCACACCAGACGC